ATTAGGCATAATTTTGTTTACGTATCTTTGGCCGAGTAAATCTAAATTGTAATCACATCTAGGCACTCTTTGCTACGTTTACTTGCAGCAGTGTATACTTTTGAAATAACAGAGTCACTGCATAAATGGCCATTTCATACATTACTGTAAACAGCATGTACCTGTACCTGCACTTGTGATGTATACTGTACATGCACCTTCTGTATCAGCGAAACATAAACGCAGTGTCTTGTCAGACACTCAGCCAATTCCTATTTCCATGATTAAACCTACAAATCTATGCCATGGACGTTTAAACCCAGTCGTAAATCTGAAAGTCATGTTGTAAACGGCGTGCCAGAAAAAATTTACTCGGTGTGTTATCAAACACATGTATGTAAACCAAAGGGACATGCAGTCCACACAGGGAGTGAAGAGATGTGTACTGAGAGATTCTGGGTCAACAAGAGATGTATTGAAAAATTTGAAGTACACTGCAACAAACAAATGCCTTTTGCATCACAGTCTCTTAGGTCTGAGTAGTGTTAGACACTGTACATTTACATCCTGCCAGCCAAATTAGTAAAAATTGGAAGGATGAGGAGAAAGTGGCTGAGAACACCGTTTTGGTACATGTAATACAAGTGTTGCAAGTTACAACATACCGTAACTGTCAGCACAGTCAAGAACATTAACGATACAGTTCTCTGCCGTGCATTAGCGCGATTGCCTGGTTAAATGTGAAGGAGCTAGGTTTTTCCAATTCTGGCGGCGTGCGTGGGAGTTTGTTGTCAGCCACTGGAAAGAATTCAAGAAAATGCGGTGAAGGACTCCCAGGACAGAGCTGGCAACTAATTGAATGGATGGGCAGTATCGAGTGTGACATACTTACAGCACCCAATTGCTGTATGGCATTTGGGATTTGCGGGTTCAGGACAATAACACATCGGCCTGCAACGGGCACATTCGTGGAATTCAGCAGGCTGTCTTTTAACACTTTTGGCCTGTAGGATGCAAACATGTACCGGTAGGTCGATCTGTACATGTCCTTTTGTGTAAGGTGTACATGTACCTCCTCTCTGCTCTCTCATGCTGCGGTTCATGTACTCCTTTTTATTAGAAGCGCTATTGGATTCTTCCTGCTCCGCAGCCATGTTGCAATGCCCTGCTATAATTCTGTTGTTTGAAAAACACGATGAAGCTCGAATTGGCTGATCAAATGCTCTGATTACCTCCACAATAGACCTCCCCTCCCAAATCACATGACATGGAGAGCTGAGAGCTTGAATTGCACCTGTCTTGCCCAGAAATCTGAAAATGCTGTATCCTTTACCTTGCCAGGGGAATGAGATAGTAGAATCCCAATGATATGTGACAGTGTCTTTGACACAACAGAGCTTGCATTCACACTCAATAAAATTCACTGATCCAGCTCATGAATTGCAAGGAGCGTATCCATAGAAAATTTGGGTGCTGTCCTTTAAAGCAGTGATGACCATAACCTGGAGTTGCTCTGATGCTCAAAAACAGGTCTGCTGCAGAGGTCTAAAATCCACCTGTGTATTTTAAATATAGCTTTAAAAAGCTGTTTTAAAGTACTTCCATTTTCCCTCAGGTGCTTTGAAACTGTCTATTGCATTATTTGGGAGAATTCAAGGAGCATGAAATCTAGGATGGCAAAATTTTGTGGGGGGGGGGAGTTTTAAGGAAAAGGTTTTAAAAGAGTGTTTATTAAACTTCAAAGCTTCTTTTCAATCAGTACATGTATTTATATGCCCACAGAAACTGTACCGACAGATTTGAAAGACACAATTTTGAATGCACAGAGTGAATCGTGCTGAGAAAAAAAATTGAACCAACCTGTCATTTAGAGACAGATAAACCATGTTTGTTTCACAAACATTTAACATCAAACTGAAACACGGAAGAGCTTTGAAATGCTTTTAATACAAACATGTTTCACTCTTTTTCAGACTTTCATAATTGCAGAAAAAACTACCTGTCTGACTGCAAATATTCTGACTGGTCTTAGTCTAAGCACTTATCTGAGAAATGAAGTCCTATAAATAGGAAGATCTAATGCCAAAATGCTAGATTAGCATACCACATTTTCAACATCATTCCGTCAGGACGGAGGTTGTATCTGTCGAGGTGTGACTTGTTTGTGCTGTCTGCTCATTTTGCTATCGCTGGGGGGCACAGGGCCACCGCCAGATGATACCTTTTAATTGCCGCCAACTTGGGGCCCAGCCGTCATTCGCTGGCAGAGCTGTCTTAATGCGAAAATACCCCTTCTCATAAACCCTTATTACACGAGGCAGCTATATAGAGGAGGCATCTGGCCACGCTCGATTCGTTTTATGTAATATTGCGGTGGGGGCCCAGTGGCAGAAGGGATCTCCCGTGCGTGTGTTTGTATGTGGAGGGCAAACTGGGGAACGTGTGAGATTATACATGTGGCTTAGTTGTGAGCGTGTGAAGTGTGTATATATGCATACGACGCGTAGAATAACATCCCGGCCAGCATTGTCGACAGTTACAGCTCAATTAATTCCACATGATTGTGAAGGAAGGAAAAACAGAATCTAAATGAAATGCGGAAGACTCAAAGAAAGCATGTTTATTTTATTTACCGGTATTTTATTTTCATTTATTTGTTGGAGTCAGGGGTCTTGAAAATTTGGTTTATGAGTTTTTATGGAATTTTACATTGGATGATAATTTTTATGAGGGTTTTGTTCTGCAACATATATGTGGATATTATAAATTGTAAGCTCAGTTAGCTCACTGCTCTCAACGAGTTAATTTTTGTATTAAAAGTCAAAAGAAAATACGTACAACGTACCGGTACTTAACTACTTTTCTCTTGTTAGAGAACATGTGAGTGGTTTCATTTGCAGCATCAATTTAATCTTTTCTTAAAAGTTGTTTCAGATTGTTTTCATAAAAATACTTTGTAAGCCCCAGGGTTGTGTTCAGCTCAAGTGCGATTTTCAACAGAGCTAAGATTTCACAGCTTTTATTGTAAGGGAACTTGAAATAAAGAAGACTATACCAGGATTGAGACCAATTTTTCAAAAGGAATACTCAGGTTTACCATGTTTCAGATTAGGCAGAAATATTAGTTAGCAAATTTTATGTGCCAAGCAAAAAGGAAGGGAGGACCATACACAAGACGTATGCAGTTTATAATTTTTTAGTTGCTGGTGATCTGTTTTTGCTAAGCAAATATTTTGGCTCAGGCAGTAATTTCTCTCGTTTTGAAATTCTTAGCAGATCTAAGGAATTTTAGTTACGGGTATTGCCCTTACCCGACGTACATGTTTTTTCACAAACACTGTATACTCGGTGCTTGTCTGAGAGCGTGGGAAAAAATTCACTTAGCGTATTCGGGTGGGACTCGAACCCGCCACTTCCTGCTTGCTAGTGCAGACATCTTAACCACTCGACCACCAAACCATCTGCACCAGTAAGCGGTAGGTTGTTGGTTCGAGTTCCACCTGAGTAAGCTTGTGAATTCTTTCACAAGTTCTCGGACAAGCACTCAGTAGGCAGTGTTCATGAATGTACAATGTACGTCGGGTAAGGGCAAAACCCGTAATTGAAATTAACATCTCCCCGACGCAAAGCACATCTTAAAAAAAACGATCTAGTCTTTCCATTGGCAGACAAGCTGAAAAACCGTTGCTTTTTTGTGAGTCTGAATATGAATACAGGAAATTTGCATGAGTATCCTATAACCGACAAACAGGGCGATTCATTGCCCAGAAAATGGCCTTGATTACGGGCACGAACACAACCAAGCCCACTTCATCAGCCACGCCCTGTTTTATATGCCTTAACATGACGACAGCCTGTCCAGGTAGTGTGCCTCCTGGTACATGCAGCCTCTTTCTCTTTGACAGTACTTTGCTTTTTTTTTTGTTGGAACAAAAAGTCATCTTGGATAATATTCGATCATATTCATTCATAGTTCAGCTAATGAGTGTACATGTAAGTCCAAATGACTGTAGCACTAGAGATTTGTCACCCAAGGTTGTTTTTTTCATCCTACTGGCGCCACGTCTCACCTCCTTCCCAGGAATTCTCCATGGCATGCATTGTAATGATACAATATTGGGTCCGAATCACATTGAATTTTACTGTATACAGGATTAACATCGGTGGGAACCTCTTTAACGCATTGTGAATCCATGGTCATCGTCAGGTGGTTGGGGCTATCAAAGAAACTCCTGACAAAAATCAGAAGAGTCACAACAACACTAAAAATACCCGAGGCCAAAGCGCTTTGTGGGGGGACGGGAGGAGAAAATGACCCCAGCTACCGAGAATTTGTCACCATCAACTCAATATGGCTTTACAGTGATTTGTTTACTGCAGACTGTACAGTTCATCCACCGTTGCCCTGCCTAGGTTGGAAGGCTTTGATTTGTACAATTTTTGTTAGTATTTACTGTATAATAAAGAACTACCATTGAACTGCTATTCAAACATACATGTATCACGCAACCACCGGTGACTGTTCAATAATTGCATGCATGATTGGTCCAGAAGAACCAATACTTGTCAGCTCGTGGGTGCAACCTGGCACCTGTAGTTTTCCCTACAGATGTTCAAAATGATTTCCCCCACATACATATTTATCTGTTTTGGTGTTGTCATAATTTATGAAGTCAGGAGAAGCTTGCTTGTACCTTTTCAGTGTATTTGTGTCCTCCTCAGGAACCCAGGTTTAGGTCCCGTTAAATTTCTTTGCTTGAGTTCCTTGTTTTTACGCAAACTGCCGGTATTTTCATGCGATTCCATGCAATTTTGTGGAACCTGTTACCTGATTATTCTCTGAGAGCGCTAGAGGGAGTTGACTCATTTAAAGAGTCTGTGTTCACATTGCTTTAAATGAATAACTGAGAATTACATGTAACTTGAACAAGTCTCAGTAATCTTTGATCATTTGGTGGTATTTTTAGCCTGTTCAGTAAAATGCTATATCTTTCTTGTTTCTCTCTTTTGTCTTGGCCTAGTTATGGAGACATCGTACCGCATACAGAAATAGGCAAGATAGTTGGAGGATTGTGTGCTCTGAGTGGTGTGCTGGTCATCGCTCTGCCCGTTCCCGTCATTGTCTCCAACTTCAGTCGAATATACCACCAAAGCCAGAGAGCTGACAAGCGAAAGGCGCAAAGGGTAGGTGCATGGATATATATGTACATGTATACACTTCTAAATGTATGTACATGTAATTTGACGCCTACATTTACTGTTTGAAGAGGGAAACCTGTGCTTACCGGTACCTTGACAATGTGGATAACTTGAGCTTGCTGTTTCACTTCACACTGCTCGCCTCTCCCCAGAAATAATTTCCAGTGTTCTGTTCCTTGTTTTCTGCCAAAAGTACCAGTAGATGCTGTTGCTGCTGCACGTGTTTTCCCCGGCATTGCTTCCTGGGAGTTTACTCAATGAAATGGGCACCACTTCAGCCTGGTTTCTGTTTTGTTGTAAAGAGATGCAGGTTGCATTACCAAGCAGTACCCAATGAGTCTCGATCATTTGAAACCTACAGTATCTTCATCAGGACTGACACAAACATGAACTATCAGTAGGTGTTGGTGAAGGAGGATAATGCTCGCCTTTGCCGACTGTCTTCAGTTCACAGCAGTTTCCCTCTCACTGTAGTGCCATACGCTAGCTGGTCAACAAATTCCCAGTTACCAACTGAAATAGTTGACCTAAACTGAAATACACGTACATTCAATCAAAGTACCAGTTTAACCACCTTAAAGGGATTTCACGCAGTCATTCCAGAGTTTGGGATGGTAGTTAGTGTCCAATTTTTTTTATTTGTTGAATAGCGTCATGCACCATCTCTTCCTTGACTGTGTCTTAACATCTTGTGTGCTGTCAGTGATCATTACGACCATATGGAACCTGGGCATCACAGGACTGTACAAGTACATTAATGACAGCTGAGTGAGGCCTAAGTAATGTTAAGTAACTAGACTTGGCCAGATAGGTCGTGTGCTTGCTAACATTGGCTAGCACATGTAGGCCTATTGGTGTTTTAGCCTACGTGTAGGTAAGGTCATTAGGCCTTTTTTGATTTCCCCCAGTACATGTACATGTAGCCATGTCCAAAGTTCCAAACAATTCTTTTCACATCGCATCTCAACATCTCCCACCTTCCAAATTGATCATTGGAACATATTTCGCCATTCCACTTAAGTATGTTTTCTTGCGTATCTCTGTTTACACTTCTGATCTTTATCCAGATATCATTTTCTCCATAGGTACATGTACCGGTACATATTAACTTGCATGTTAATTTTTTGAAATATTAAGAATCACAAGACAATGGCTTTTGATTTTCATTGATAGAGTGCATGCAGGTACACAAGCTACCTTGATGTTTCTCAGTTTTGGGGGTGATGTTGCTTTATGTTTGCATTTGTTTTTCTTTTTAGTCAACAAGCTAAGCCAAAGATACTTTTTCTCCATTGACCATTGTGCAAACTCCATAGCGCAAAGCCAGCAGTCTGCTCCAGTGTCAATTTAAATACAATTACTGATGATGAATCACATGGCTTTGCCCATTACATCGCTGTGCGAGACAGACTCCTTTGTTCCGTCTCGTCTACTCCCTGGGTTACCCACCCCAATTGAGGGCTTTCACAAAATTTCCCTCTCTGTTGCCAGTAGCGAGGAAAAACCTGAGTTCGGTGGTCCAATTGCACATGCTCAATGAGGGGCTGATGGTTGTCGCATCTCCTACCCGCAGTTCTTCATCTTTATCTTGACAGTGTGAAAGGGAAACGTGAAAGCACCAGGGCACAAGTTTCCTCAAATCAGTCATGTTTACGGGGATTATTTTCAAATGCAATTACCTTGGAATGTCCTCTTTCATGTCTTTGCAGACAATTGGGAAGTTTTACATTTGTCTGTACATTGTTATTGCAGGAGGCACAATAGGGGAGTCGTCATGTGTACATGTAGTGTGGAAGAACACGTGGTAGGGTCACCCACACATTCATGCCAAGGACACATCAACCTTGTGTGAAGTACATGTACAGTACCTGTACGTATGTACAGTACATGTACATGTTCGTACCAAGTACATGTACACTGCATGTACATGTACAACACATGCACAGTGTATTGTACTTGAATATGTACATGTACTACACACGTATTGTACTTGTACCGGTACATGTGTAGTATTGCTTTGCCATTTGCTGTAATCACCTCAATAGTTGCATGGTACAGTCCAGTTGCCAAAGTGAAGAAAAATCCACAGTTTTGATAGCCAGTCAGGGTCGGCCATTTTTTGATAGCCATTCAAGTGGATCCAGTCGAAAAGAGTAACTCACTGAAGGGAAGCAAAGCTGATGGAAGACCTAAACACTGGTTTCATGGTGTGGTTTGTCTGAATTGAGGGTGTGACGTCAAGGGAATTCAAGTGCTTCAGAATGAGACGGTGACGTTACTTCGAAGTGCGTACAAGCGGGCATAGTCAGTATTTTTAATTGGATGTCATGTTCAAGTATGCGGTAGCTGGCTCTGCCCCGCTGGCGCCAACCGGGTGTAGTTTTCCCGTTGTTGTCTAAGAGGCAGAGCTCCCTACCGTAAGTTGATGAATATCCAGTGAGGAGGTTCATCAGGATGTGGTCTTGTCTATCACTTTTGGGCCACACAGAGTGATTGCCTGGGTGTATTCTGTGAGAGCGGCACTAGCTGATGTTATACATACTGCAGATCTTGGACAGCTCTTCAGCAGGATTTGGGAAGCATAATGTAAATCACAATACTGTTTCTGCACACCCAGGCAATGCTCATTTTGCCCAATTGCACAGTCGCTTTAGCCCGCTTAAATATCAGTAATATCTACCCGTACTTGTTACACAGAGTGTATACATGTGCAGGCACTGTGCATGTACTTGCAGTCTTACAAGTGTGCAAATATACATGTACAATTACCTTTTAAACACTTCTTAGTGGTACTTATGGTACATGTACATGTACCTGTACATCTCTTGGATAACGAGACTGTTTCTTAAAATTAAAATCTCAGTTCTATTACATTAGAAGCAATCTTTCACAACTCTTCAAATTACATGTACCGGTAGTATCAATGGGAGATGTGTCCAAAGTGGCGGAAGACATGCAGTACATTAAGGATTAAAATTGTCCAAAAAGAAAAAAAAGAAGGGCTGTTGAGAAGAGTCATATTTTAGATGCGCTTTTTTTTTTTAAAATTTGGAGCAAACAAGAACGTAATACAGCAAATCTGCTTCCCCCCTGCTTGCAGCCCATATTCCCATCAACTCCTATGCATGAATCCCTCGTTCAGTTGAAGCAAAATTCCACCCGGAGCCTCACATGAATGCACATTAATGTGCATCCCGTCATGCCTCATCCATCACAGTGGTCTGAATTGAAAAGAAAAAAAAAAGAAAAGGGAATTAAAGTACGGTATTAACTGCTAGAGGAAGGTCTGCAGGGAAGGGAATAGATGTAATATTGAATTACTGACAGCGAAATGACCCAATCAGGAGTTTTGTTGCAGGGCTACATGTACGTATGATACATGTACCGGTACATTGTAGACCCCGCGTCATAAATGGACACATGGCCCTCATCATGTATAATTCAGCTGTTCAAGAGGAGACTCTTTGGTTGTCAGATTGTAAAAAATTCACAGCCTCCAGTTTCACTTTTCACTTTGACACTATCACAGCATTATGGGATATTCATTATTATCCCAGCTTATCGGATGACACGTTCATCGTTTTCTAGGCATATTAGAGCGAGGCAATAATTTATGACGTGGACTTCAGCTTCATTTCAGGCCCAAGGGTTTGGTTGTTCACTTGGCCAGATGATTACTCCGTTTTGCATTGCAGCTGCTTTCTTTCACTGCACGGCTGAAATGATGGGGAGGGGTGTTTCCCGCCATTCTTGGCTCACCTATCCAATCACAGATTGTTGTTGCAATACGGGTATGTTGTGTACCTGTGCTCAGTGTTCCATCTAGCCACTTGCCCACCTATCCTGAGGACAGGCAGTTTTGGTCATACATGTACATTTATTTGGCAGTTCTTGTCAAGTAGAACATGTACATCCATTCTCTAATCTAAACCATTCCTTCCAAATACTGGTTACAATGGAAAGACAGCCTTCAGTTACAAACATTTTACAGTTCTTGACTTGGGCTGAGAAGGGACTGCAGATATTTCGAACCTACACGTATGTACCCCGACCAGATTGATGACCTTTCAAAGAAACCTTGCCTGTGCTTTTCAAATTGATAAGATGGTACCGGTAACACCCTACAACCTCTAACGCATCAGCATGACAGTGTTCATCAAATTCTAAATTTGAAATATGGTGAGCACATGATGAATCATTGCTAAGTTGGGAGGAGGGGAGGGAGCGAGTGAGCAGCGTAGCCCGGTCGGTTTCTCACTGCAGAGGGGTGAATGGGAGAGCTGAATGTTATGGGGAGGTCATCCTCCAGCCACCCCCTCCGCCCCACCTATGCTGCAGGGGTGGGTTGGGGAAGGGCTCTGCAATGAAGCAATAAGTTGAGGAACTTTTTAGTCAGATAGATGCACATGTATATGGTTTATTGTTTTTCGGGTTATGGTATTAAACTATTAAAGTTAAGTTCTTAAATAAGGCAAACTACTCGTATATGTAAATGCAGCACTCAAAATCTTAACTTGGCAGTCAGCTTACTTGTAAAGCCTGGTAACTACGTTTTACACTTGGCAGGCTGCCAGGCTACCGCTGCGGGTTGCAGAATACTGCATTATTGATGGACTTACTGAAAGCTACTCGTATTGCAAAGGATATGCACATTGTAACGTGTACCGGGAGCTTTCAGTACGCGTCTGTGGTACATTTGTGCGACATTTTGCTTTGTCCAGCATCAAGAAAGCTTTTCCCCTACATGTAACATGTGTAGGCAGACTTCGAAATAGGGCCATTTAGCTGTTTTGTATGGTACATGTCATGTACTTTTTTTCCCCCATTTGAATGATTTGAGACCCAACCAACATCAAAATCTCTTCATTTTAGCAATAGTAAAACATTCAGATTGGTGAAAAAAAAACAGTACATACCTGGCAGATGACACTATACTGTCCAAACAGGTATGTCCAATGTGAATCCATAGAAATCCCCTTATTTATATTACTGCCCATACCACTATGTTCATCAAGTACACATGTACATGTGTAGGCCTATACGGGTTGTTTGGACAAATGTTTGTCTATTTGTCATTTGCACATTTCATCTCCAAACATTTGTGAGACACCTGCAGATTGTTTCACCCTCTGTAAAAGGGTATCAGGTTTGTTGGTTTTTACTGCCGTACCGGTACATGTAACAATATGAGTGTTCTTTTTAGGCATTGTTCAACACCGGTTCATGTGGTATTTGATGAAAAACACAGAGAAATGTGTGGGTTTTTTTTGGTTGACCTTCTGTTTACCCTCGCATGATATGAGTCTGCATGGCAGTGTGAACTGGGTACGTTTTTTCAAAAGGTTTTTCTGAAAGTTGCCCATGCTGTTCTTCTTACAGAAAGCTAGACTTGCCAGGATTCGACTCGCCAAGAACGCTAGCGGGAATGCCTTTGTCTCACGCAAAAAGGAGGCGGACAGATTAGCAGAGGTAAGGTTGATAAAAACGGGCTTGTCGCAGGCCAGCGAGCATTCTTTGGAGCACGATTCCCTTTTCCCCAAGGCAAGTCCCATGAAAAAAAAAGGGAAAAAGAGAAATGGAGAGAAAAAAATGGAAACATCCACTTTTTATTGTGCAGCGGCACGGGTTTTTGCATGCATCACAGCTTTCCCTACAAACTACACGTACATGTACCTATGACAATGAATCCACACTGCAACAAGTGGCGAGAATATTTTTGTGGACATGTGCACTGTACATGTATTTGCATCCTTTTTTCAGTGTAAGGGAATTGGCTATTACATATCTGCAGGGAGGGAGTCCTCTGGTCGAGCTGTTTGCACGCTGCACTTGTTCTGCTGCAGTGTTGTTTGCAGATTGGTCCGAGACAATTAGCATTCAAGGACTCAGTGCATACTCATTACTTGAAGTGGTCATAAGTTATCACATATCGCATTGCATATACATGTACTGGTACGTAACCATGCATGTATTTGTGCTCGTATGCATATGGATTAGGGTATACAGGGTGCCCGAGAATTATTGGAACCCAAGAATGCTCAGTTTGATTATTTTGTTGCTCGTAAAAAATAAAATAACTGAAATCGCTTTTCATTTTTCAATGATCATCTCTGCCGTTACTTTTTAGCTCTCCCAAGAATTTTGGATCATGAAAATTGGTTGAGCCATTGTATGCACATCCTGTACATGTACATGTATATACTGTGTGCATTAACCTCATGGCACCTATTATACGTTTTGTGCATACAGTAGGTTACCAGGGAATTTGATCATTGGTTACACATGTATAACAGACTCATTCCTGTCCCCGCAGCGTATAAGGTAAATGCAGGGATCGCCAACCAGACTATATGTACATGACATGTGAACTTGTATTCAGTGCTAACTGCACTACTTTTACGTCAAAATTTATGCAATTAACCCTATTAGCCCTGAATCCTCCAATTTTAATATGATTTTGCACACATCCTAGGGAGTTAGGGTTAAAGAAAGTAAGGGAACAGTGCATTCACAGACGATATCATTTACGTTTATGTTAATTGTTATACAGTTTGACAGTAGGCCTATCATCTGCTGAAAGTCAGAGCTGTTTACTGCGGATAAATTCCTAAGCCTCCACAAACCGGTAATTAAGACAGAGGTACTCGTACATGTAGGACAAAATAATCGTTGACAGCTGTGATGTGGGATATGACGCTTTGAACACCCTCGGGCACGCATAGTGCCCTCGTCTTTGCCTTGGGCGCCGTGAGCATTCAAAGCATCATATCCTACAAGTATCACCGCAGTCAACAGTTATTGAGTATTGCATGCACGGGTACAGGTACGCTACAGGCACATGTACAAATGATCTACTTTCCCGGGGAGATTTTTTTTTTCCATTTTCATTCCTTTCTTTTTCAACCCTTTCTTTTTCAACACCTTATGTAATGACTGACACAGTCACTTCCTCTGCAGCAAATTGAGCTTGCCATATTAGATGAAGGAACTGGTATATACTTATATATCCCAGTCACCAATGAGCTGCTTGCAATCTGGGAGCTACCTGTACACGCAGCACAGTGTCCGTTCATACTGGTACATGTGTTTAGCACATGAAGCTTCAACTGTGCCAATACGGGTATGCACGTGTACATGAGTGAAGTCTCCTGGCACACAGTCACGTTTTTGCAGAAGCCTACCGAGAGCACTAAGCACAGGGTTTAGTACACGGCATATTAGTTTGACCATGTGCATTCCCAATGGCATGGGTACATTAGCAAGGCTGATTACAGGTACATGTACATGTACATCTACAGTAAAATCCAGAAAAACCAAATTGTGCAGTTTGAAATTAAGACCTTCATTGTACTTGCATTTCGCTTCAAGGAATTTTTTTTGGGGGGGGAGGAAGTCACGTTAGCACCAGTATGCACATAAACCGAGTGTGCCAGCACTGACAGTCAGGATGGTCGTTAACTATTGTGCCCAAAGGAACAAGGCATTGACTGTATGTATGTACAGTATTTATTTAGGAGTCACCTGCAGCATGTACCGGTGTAGGTACATTTAGCACTGACAATTTTAATCCACATAGAGCCGAGGAAGATTTGTTTTTCGGCCATTCACGCCCTAATCTTGTGTTTAGCAATATGCACGTCATTGCGGATGGTCCAATTAAAACTCGATACAACTGTGAGTTATTTGCATGGCTCAATAGTGCAGAGTGTTCACATTGTGTGGGTACCTCGCATGTACTAGTGAATGCTGGGATCTTCAGCAGCCGCTTACGTAACTCACAACCATCGCCCGGACGACCGAGCCTGACGTCAGCGCCTGGGCTAGCGGGGCTGGTTAATGCGAGCAGCTTCCTGGGTGCCTGCACAATGTCATTAGTGGCATTAATTAGGCATTCAATCCGGACCCCTTTTTTCCCTCCCTGCCAGGACTTGACGCGGAGAAAATTTGAAGGCAGGGCTTTTATTGCTCATTTGCCACATTGCCCGGCACTTCCACTGTCATTGCCTGGACATTTTGTACATGACCACGTGAATGTGTTACTGTAGCAATTTGGCGAGTCTGAGCTGAGACTTTCCCTTTGATGAGACCAGACCTTGGTGGCATCCTGCCAGTTCACTGTTTGTTTGACAGTTTATCTTGCTGCGTTTATCGTTTTTTTTAAATTCCAGCTAACAATGATAGTCTACATGTTGGTATTTTGTGCCGGTATATGCATGAAATTGAGTAGATATTGCATGTAAATTTAGAAGGTTAATTTAAATTTCATTACAACTGAATCACTCGACAAAATTCTTAGATGTTGACAAGCTGAATATGTCTCACAAAAGTCTGAGCGTTAAGTTTTGCTGACTTTAGTCTGCAAAACTATCAACTATGGGCACATTTACATGTATGAAGAAACAGTCTAAAGGACCACCTCATAATGCATTAATGATTTAGTCACAAAGTAATGTGTCCTCTTTAAACGTGAAAGACCATCCCCCAAAGTTTTGCTCACAAGCCATTGAAAATATTAGCCTGATGTGAACTGCAGATATATAATTTTCATCGTGGCTCAGGTTCACTTTTAATTGAACTGCCTCACAAAGCCATCCTGGTAATGCGATCGAGGGTCGACTGAAGGGAACCTGCTGGGGCGGCTCATCGTTAGCATTTGGAGACAATTTCCTTGACGTCAGCATCTCCAAAAGGTCCACCTTAGGAAGGCACAGCAAGTGGCCATCTGCTCCCCACGGTTTGCAGCTATGTACATTAATGCTGCAGCGTGACAGGATAAGTTTATCAGGTCGGGCTTATCAAGCATCCTCAGTGTGCTGGGAGACATATACTGTACATGTACGGTATGCCATGCCAGTAGTCACGTGCTGCTGTTAACAGAATTTTCCAGAAGAGTTTGCGGTCAACAGTTTCCATCATTGCAGCTTGGATGTTGTGCCAGTTATTTTTTGTGATGCACAGGGAATAGGCCATCCTTCTTTAAGTCACCGTAGCACGTTCTGCGAAAAAGGGTGCAGACTAGGCAAAGCATCAAAAAGAAAGAGCTACATGTATCTTTCAGAGGAAACTGGGTTTTTTTTTTTTTTTTTTTGCAGGGGACAAATGCTTCCAAGAACAGGCTTACAGGTTTACAGTATTTCCTTGTTGTATGTGTATTCATTGGTTTTCGGCAGAAAGTATCACTTATTGTAGAATTTGCAGTTGCCTGAAGTGATGAGTTCACACATTACAATGCCATAAATCACAATGCCTCCCACTCCGACACTCTGTCGAGGGATTTTGGGACTTTGGTAACAGCTCCACATGTAAATAGCTGGGCAGGCTCCGAGTCACTGACACCAGTGTTCCCAGAAGTGCAGAATACAGCCAGGGACACAAGAATGCCTGTTAAATCCTCCCTGCCCACTGGGATGCACAGTGACCGCATCCCCAGATGAAGGAGATGTCTTTCTGAGAAGGAAGAGAATACCGGTAGGCACTGTACGGGTACCTTGCCTGGAATTGAATAGAACTTTAGAAATGATCGGCAGGAGCATCTGATTAGCATAAGTACATGTAGGTGCATGTAACAAGGAAAGGAGCCTTGGAAGGGTGTTGATGGATGTGGGCTATCAAATCATGTCTCAGCATTGAAATCTTAGCCTGTTAGACCTCTGTGTGATATTAAAGTGTCTTAGTGGGAACATCTTGTGCACATACGTTGTCTCTTTGCACAGCATTAGAAGTTTGTGTCTTGGGCCACAGAGGAAATGCTCAGAGGTGAAGCAGTGGTATGTCTGTACACGTAGTTTGATGTAACTAAATGGTTTGTGTGTTCAAATTAACGAAGGCCCTTCACCATGGCCCAAACAGCACAATACAGATGCTTCCATTCCAATTATAATTTTCCTTTCAGGTATAACTTCACCCCCTCCCCTCCCCCCTTTGAGGTAAGCAAGCTCAGCTTGCTTGATCTCGAGCACCTTTATTACAGTGTATATATACTAAGTCCTACCATTAAAGGGCAAAGGAGTTGGCCTAAGCTACTTTCTTGACTGAGCATTGCTCATGGATCCATGCTATTGCTAAGTACGGCCTGTTTTTCCAATTCATTGCATGCCTGCCCAGACTTAATGCCCCGCAAATGCCGCCTCATAAATGTCTCTTAATGAGAAGTAACTTGCCAATTGGATTATGTCCAAATGCCAGGCAGACACCACCCTGAAGAATCCAGCTGTGTGCATGTTTGGTTTTCATGGAATTAAATTCCATTTCATTAAATTACCAGCCCAGTCAAGGTCATCAAAAAAAGGCACGCATACATGTACTTCATTTGTAAACTACTTTTTTAATTTTCCTTGACAAATGTTAAATTGTATCACATTGAATTTTGCAGTTCTGTACAAATTAACTGATCTTTGATGGATGGCTTTTATTTTAATATACCCTCCCATGGCCTGCGAGCTCTGGATTGGCTAGTTGATCGAAGCCCC